ATTAGTCTGGGCCAGACTCTGGAGGTGGGGTGGAGACTCAGGAATGGGACTGAGCTCCCTTCACCTCCTCCTCAGAGCCCACTTCTGGGCCTCATCCCTGCCCCCACTTTCCACTTCTCTGCTGGGCATCTCCTCAAAGAGTCAACAGAAAGCTGTGTTTACTCTGCCAAGCAGCATCCCTGGGGAGGGAGGAGAGAAGAAATAAATCTTCCTGCCTTGGCTTAGGAAAGCAGGCCGTTAATTACCTGGGGTTCCAAGCTGCCTGCCTGCTAGGTAAACATTTGCCAAACTGGCCCCATCGATTAACCCCTTGGCACCCAGGGCTGAAATGGAGGTGACTGGGTGTGGGCAGATCTAGGAGGGTCCATGAACTTGAGAGAGGCTGGCTATGGCTTATGGAGACCTTAAAGAGGGTATAATTCAGGATAAATATCCAAGAGAATGGAAAAAAATGACTTCAGGATCAGGGTTTGAATTTTATTTTTGTGGCCTGTCCAGTCCTGATGTCTCCCAGCCTCAACTCTGAAACCCCTGTCCCAGGCATACAGACCCCAAAGGAGTGGCCAGGGCCGAAAACTCAGCCTGCAGTTTCTGGCAGGGAGGGTGTCCTGTTCACGAGGGGCTGGACCAGCAATAACTGCGCATCTCAATCCCCTCTGGCTTTCTCTCAATAACAGAAACCTTATAGGAAGTGGAAACTCACCTCCCAAGGGAGGGGAGCCCAGACCCTGGGCCTCGTCTAGGCATGGCTGGTTAGAATGGGGGCCACGTGTGGGTTATCCCCTACAGGCAGGAATTGCTCTCCATCCTGGTGGGGCCTAGCAGGGCAGACTCCCCCTGGAGCTGGATCGATATTGCAGGGTCCTGTGGGGATCCACCACACTTTGGGTTATCTGTGCTCAAGCACGGAAGCTGAGACACCCCCCACCCCCCACCGCCTCCTGCAGCCCGCAGCCCGACAGCTCAGAGCTGAAACAGCAGCAGACAAGGAGCAGCAGGTGGGTTTCCATGGTGATCGCCTCCTGGAGGGCCAACGGTCTTTCTGAAGGGAGATGGAGGTGCAGCAGGAAGAACATGGGCACAGGAGGCAAACCCAAATCCTGGTCCTGATCTACCCCAGACGGACAGCTTGGTGTCCCCTGGGCAAGTCACCTCCCATCCCCCTGGGTCTGAGGAGGGATGGAGGGTACCATTTGTTAGGGGCGTGATCTGTGCCAGGCATGGTGTGCTGAAGGCTGTATCTTCATTACCTCATTTAATCCTCTTCTCAGCAAGCTTCTGAGGAACATGGTATTATCAGCACTGTACTGATGAGGAGACAGAAGCACAGAGAGGTGAAGTAACTTGCAGAGGAACACACAGTTTGTGAAGAGCACCTGAGTTTGTGCTGACAACCACAGCACAATGTAGCGCTCCAGGTCCCTTCCCCTTGGAACACTAGCTACTTTCCTTATGGAAATCTCAGGCTCATCCGAGAGAAGGAAGGGCAGGAGGGCGGCAGAATCAGGGTACAAAGATGGAATATTGCAGGTCAAATACAGTAATTGTTAGCTTCCATTTTCTGCCTGGGCACCTTGGCCTTTTTTGCCTGGGCACCTCTTACCTCAGGCAGGAAGCAACCCCATGCTTGCTTAGGCAGCGCCTGGTACCCCCCAGACAGCTTGACAGCACCAGGACCATGAAACAAACACTGTCGTGCTCAGAGCTCCAGGAGGCCATCGTCCCTGCCGCCAACCCACAGCAAGGCCAGCTTCAGCCCTGCCCTGTGGGAAGAAGTCTTCTTCCTCCTCCCAGGAGTCTCCCCGTGCCGAACCAGAGCCCAGGCCTTCTCCTCCTCCTCCTCTCTGCTGTCCTCTCCCTCCTGCCCTGTTCCACTCCCCTCTCTCCACAGTGTTGGCTTTTGTCCCATTGACCAGAGCCCGGGGACAGGACATGAACATCCGGTAGCTTTGAGGAGCCCTGAAGAGCTCAGTGGAGGCCCCAGAGCCCTCGGCAGAGCCAAGGGATGTATTTTTAGGATGAACCCTGCTCAGCGCTGCCTGCCAGGATACCCCATCCAAACCCCAGGGCAGCCTTGGGAATCGCAGTCCAGACGAGCCCAGGGCCCTGGGCTGAAGGGATGAAGGCAGAAGAGGGCTTGTGTGTGTATGCAAGTGTGGGCATGGGCACTAGCCAGCCAAGGCGCCTGGGCTGGGGGCGTGGGGGGCTGAAGCAGGATCAGTTGCCCACCCCACCCAAGCTCCTCACTGTCTGGCCTTGACCTCCAGACCTCCCAGATTTGCCCATGCATCCATTGATTCACTCACTCAACAAGCATTTGTCGGACGCTTATTATACCAGTGCTGGGGATGAGAAGGCTGAATGAGGCATGATTCCTAGCCTTACAACCGGACTCCAGACTGTCCTCCCCTAACTGGTGCCCCCTCAGTGTTCCCCATGTTGGTTGATGGCGGCTCCACCCTGTCTGTGGCCCAGGCCGAACCTCACATCCAATCCATCAGCAAATCTGTCGCTTTTCCCTAGCTCCAAATATACCCAGAATCCAACTGCTCATGCCTTTCACCCCTGCCGTCCTGGTCCAAGCCACCAACGTGGCTCCCCTGCGTGGTTTACCTGGCCCAACAGAGCTCCTGCCTCCGTCTCTGCCCTGATGTCAACTGAGTGGTGAAACAAGATCAGACTGTGCCTCTCACAGAGCAGGCACACTTCCCCCAGAACCTGTACCTGCCTTCTCCCCAGCTTGGAATGTCCTTCCCTTAGAAATATCCTCAACTCACTCCCTCGCCTCAAATGTCAGCTGTGCAGACAGGCCTGCCCTAATCCTCCCACTTAACATTGCAGCCCCTCCCTTCTCCACAGCATTTATTCCCAAGTGACACACGATATATTTTATTTATTTGTTTTGTTTATTGTTGATTCCCCTTCCCTGGAATGTGAACTCCATGAGCTCAAGATTGTGTCTACTCTGTTCACTGGCCTTAGAACCTGCCAGGCCCTCAGAAAGGGCTCATTAAGAGGTTGTGGGATGAAGATCTGTGGGGGTGACAGACTCCTGCTCTGCCTCCACCCCCGTCTGTTCCCACACAGGCAGCACAGTGATTTTTCTAAAAATCACACCGCCCTTCAGGTGTTAGGGTGGGCGTCACTGCCTCAGACGCCTTCTCCGACCCCTGGGCTAGGCAGCCGCTCTGCCCGCTCCCACGGCCCTCTCCCCTTGTTCTGTAATTGCTGGGTCACTGGCCTCTCTTTCTCCCTGACAGTGAGTTCTGCCAGGGTGGGGACATATCTGCCTCATTCAGGAGATAGGAAGGCACAGTGGCTATAGGGCTGCTTGGGTCCAAATCCCAGCTAAGGTGTAGGAATGTAGGCAAGTTGCTTAAGCAACCTGGGCCTCTGTATCCCTGTCTGTAAAATGAGGATAATATTAGTTCTGCTTTAAAGCACCCACAGGAGAGGATTAAATGAGCTAATATACTAGCACTTAGAGTCACACGTGGCACAGAGTAAGTGTAATATGCACTATCACTATTACTTTCTTAAATGTGGTACTATGCCCAGTGCCTGGCACAAAGACTGGCCCATATTTAGAACTCAGTATGTATTTGTTGGATGACTGAATGAGTACAGGGACAGAGGGATGAAGAAATGGCATAAGAACCTAAGGGAGGGCCCAAACCCAGCCTGAGGAGAGTCCGGAGGCTTCCTGTAGGAAGGGGGCCTTTGGCTGACTCCTGCAGGATGGGGAAGAGTTAGCTGATTGAGGGCAAGAGCAGCGTGTGCCAGGCCTCTGTATGCGTGAGAGACCCTGAGTCGTGTGGGGAAAGTCAGTCCATCACTTAGTGACTGGCCCTGTGGTGCAAGGAGGCCAGCTTTCCTCTGTTGGCCATTCTGAGGGCATTCTTGAGGGAATGACTGCACTTCCCTCAGACTGGCTGCCCACTGCGGGCAAAACATTTCCACGGTAGCTCCCTGGTCAGATCAGTGGTCCTCTGAGATCAGGGGAGGCAGGCAAGAAGAGGAGGCTGCCACTTGTTGAGGGACACCCACAGGATAGTCTGGATCTAACCTGGCAACCCTCTCTTGGCAGAGATCGTTATCCACCTTCTAGAGATGAGGAGACAGAGAGCCAACCTCACCCAACAGCAAAGGGCAGAGGCAGAGATCACTCCAGGTTAGCAGATTCCCTGTGGCCTCCCTGGCCATCAGACTGGGGCTCCTGACAGCCAGCGTCTGTGTCTCTCCCTCCACCTCAGTGATTCCTCAGTGGGTGACAGCACCCAATCCTGACTGCCCCACAGAACGCAGACCAAGGAACTTAGCAAGGAACCCCTCAACAGGCATGGGACAAAGGAGAGTCAAGTTCAACCTTAGGAAGGACCAGACAAGCATCAAGACCTTCCCTGCAGACCTCCAGACAAGGACAGACTCTTGTGCACCTGGGAGAGGTGCCAGGAGGGGCCTGAAGAGGCTGGAGCTGAATGAGACTGAGGGGTGAGGGTCTGGACAGAGAGGGATCAATACTGGGAATAGTTGGACACACTTTACCTGATAGTCCCACACCCCCCCCCAACCCCCAGCCACTCAGTGCCTCCCTTATCTCATCTGTTGAGGGTCTCATCTGCAGATTTATAGTCTCCCCACCCCAGAGCCCCAGCTAGGGTGACTGTGGGAAGGTCTAAGGATTAGGGTTAAGAGCTCAGGGTTCAAATCCCCACCCTGCCACTTCTCAGCTGGCTTGCCTTAGGAAGATGCCATCCCCTCAACTTTTCTCCTCTGTAAAAAAACAACAGTGATAAACCTCTGCCTCAAAGGTTGATGTGAGAATTCAGAGACAGAGGCTGTGACAGCTCCAGGCAAACTGTGAGGTAGGGGCCCTGCTGGTTATTATGGTTAGCAGTGTAGGAAACCAGTTTGGAAAGAGTTAAGTGGAGACCCTGCCTCCCAGCCAGGAACGAATCAGGGCTGGCAGGGGAGGAGCCAGCTTGCCGCTAGGAAAGAGATTTAGACCCGCCAGATGCTGCCCCAAGAGGGAACGGGTGAAGACGCCAGCAGGGCACGGGGGCTATGGGGCAGGGGCTTGGCGCAAGGTCTCTGGCCTCTGCACTATGAGCGCTCCAAGCCAGAGGGAGCAGGACCAGCTGGGTGCGGGTTGGGGGCGCCGAGTTGGCTGAGCCAGGCTGCGGCAACAGGGTGGGAGAGGCCCAGGACTCAGAGCCCCCTCAGACCCCCAGGCAGCACTCAGGCCTTGACCTCAGCTGACCCTGATAGCCCATGAGGAGCGCAGGGTCTAATTTTAGCTCCAGCTGCTGGACCCACAGCCAGGAGTGCCTGTCAGCCGGCACAGGGGTGGCCAGGACAGCTCAGGGGCTGCTCAGGCATGGGGAAGATTAGGAAGACCAGCCCTGCTTCCATCCAGCCCTGCACCCTGGTCAAGCTGCCTCCTGGGGGAGCCTGTCAGGTCCCCCATGGCCTGGCAGATGATCCTTCTCTCTGTTGAGGCCAAGGTCAGGGGGTGCAGACAGAAGGGTGGAAGGACACAGCCTTGCACTCTGGACAGAGGTTGTTGCATCAGCCTGAGCAGTGCCCAAGGGCAGGGGGCCCTGCTGGGAGGACAAAGGGCTCACTTGGTTGTCCAGAGGCCAAGGAAGCAGCGTCCTGACCTCAGGAAGGCCAGGCCAGAAAGCTGGGTCCTACCTGGCCTCTGTGTGCCTGGCCAGTGACTCGCCGTTTGACCTCACACAGGCAGCCTGCTCTCGTGGGCCTCAGTCTTCTCATCTGTACAATGAGGGCACTGAACTAGAAGGCTGGTTCCGGCTCGAGCATCCACCCTTGGCCCTGCTCCTCCTGCTTCCCCCAGCGCTGGCTGCAGGTGGCCACATGCAGTCGTGGAGAAGAAACTCCCTCTGGCTGGCATTGCTGGCCTCCTGGCTCCTCATCCTCCTGGGAGGCTCCCCTTTTCTCCGCCTGGCAGTGCCCACCAGACCTTGGGCAGGAGCCCCCCAAGGCTGGCCCCGCTGGCTGGATGCAGAGCTCCTGCAGAGTTTCTCCCAGCCTGGGGAGCTCCTGGAAGATGCCCCTCAACCTCCTCAAGCCCCCCATGGTGGCAGCTGCAATTGGGGGACTTGCTTTGATGCTTCGAAGTGCAGGGGTGGTGGCCTCAAAGTGTCCATGTACCCTGCTGCCGGGACTCTGTCTGACACTCACCGCAGGATCCTGGCTTCCATCGAGAGCTCCCACTACCACACAGGCAGCCCCGCTGATGCCTGCCTCCTCCTCCTCCTGGACAGCCCAGCTGGGAGGTGCAGCCAAGTGCCCCCTCAATGGAATGGGGGCAGGAACCATCTGGTCCTCAGCCTCCACCCAGCCCCCTGCCCCTGGCCCTTCCAGCTGGGACAGGCCATGGTGGCCGAGGCCAGCCCCACCGTGGACACCTTCAGAGCAGGCTTTGACGTGGCCCTGCCGCTTCTCCCTGAAGCCCACCCATTGAGAGGTGGGGCACCTGGCCAGCTGAGGCAGCACAGCCCCCACCCCGGGGTGGCCCTGCTAGCCCTGGCAGAGGAGAGGGGCAGGTGGCGCACAGCAGGCACCAACTTCTCTGGCTGCCCCTGGGATGGGAGCTGTGAGCGGGACCGCGGACCTGAGCAGTAAGTAGACCTTTCCCCTTCAGGGCTGGATGGGAGGGGTCTTTGATGATAGCCCAGAGGCTCGGATAGAGGGCTGGGTTGAAGTGGGAGAATTGAGATGCTGGTCCTGGCAAATTTAGGCCTCAGCTGCGGCAGGAGGGAGTCAGATCAGACTGCAGAGAACACTACCACCAAGATAGTGATTTGCCACCAGGGGTGTCTAAGGTTCTGAAGTTCCCCTCTGGGGATCTTTGAAAACATAAAACATGATTCATTCCTACTTACTCTTTTTCTCTTATTCCAATCCCTCCTTCCCTAATATTTTATTTAACATATACTTCTATAGTGCTTACTCTGTACTAGGCACTTTTCTAAATAATGATAATAAAATAATACTAATTGCTATCATTTAAGTGTTTGTATACCAGACACTGCAGTTCAGAGAGATCAAGCAACTTGCATGAGGCCACCTAGCCAGAAAGAGTGCAGCCAGTATTTTAATACAGAATTGAATGTCTCCAAAGCCTTCAGCATTAGAATTCGTGAGTTTTAAGCAAGTCTATGATCAACCCCGTCAAATGCCTCAGAGCCATGGAGATCAGTGACTGGTCACACATGGAAACTGATCCTATGTCTAATTTTGGGGGTTAGCCTCTCAAGGAAACAGCTTTTCATTACAGCAAATGTGAATTAGATCAGACCTACAGAAGAACTTCCTGCCGATAAGAGTGCCTGACCATACAGAGGAGCATGAGGACCATGGGACACAGAGGGCTGTTCAGATCCTTCCCTGTACCCAGGCTAGTTGGGCTGACACACCTCAGGTGATAAAGCCCTCAGCCCCTAAACCCCCAGGAGGCCAGCAGTATCCCAAGGTTGGCCGGGCCTGCAAGCAGGAAAGTTCTTTGGAGTTTGCCCGGGGCTCCCGCGGCAGGGGGCTCCCTCGCCATCTCCCAGGGCAGGCCTGAGTTGGAACCTGTCACCCTTGTGTTCTCCCTTGCCCCCTCCATCTGGCATCTCCCTATTCTCTGCTGTAACAACTGGGCTATTCCGAGCTCCACTTCCCTCCCAGGATTTCTTCACATGGCCACCCCCAGGCCCTCTGGGGCTTCTCTCAGCCACAGGGCTCTTGTGGGATGGAACCCTTTACTTCCTGAGGCATATGGGGCCTGCAGCGAGCCCAGCAGCCAGGGGCAGGAAGGAGTTGCTCTGCTTAGTCCCTGTGGCCCTTCTGCCAGGACATCCTTGGCGCCCTCAGCAGGCCCCTTGAAAAGTCGGTGGCAAGGTTCGTGGCTCACCATGGCCCACCCCACTTTTCTGATCAGGCACTTAACTACTAGTGTTCACAGAAGTTCTTTTGGCTGACTTTAGTTACTAGTATATACAGTTGGTCATCGGTAAATCTGAAAGCTCTTTTCAGCCTGAACTTCCTTGAGAAGCTGAAAGTTAGGGAGCTGCACACAGTAGGCAGGTGCTCACTTAAACGTTTACTGATTGATCCAAAATTGGCCAGAACTGGCCAAGGTTTTTCACTCAGTGTGAGACTGTCTGAGTGGCATTTCTGATGTTAATTTCCAAGGTGTGATGCCTAGCAGCCTCTAACTGTCCTCTGAACTTCCAAAGTTCTGTCTTTGGCCTCAGCCCACCTGCAGGTGACAGGATTTATCATCTCTGGAGTATCTTGAACCTCAGTTTCCCTGAAGTGCCCACCCCAAGGCTGGCCCCGCTGGCTGGATGCAGAGCTCCTGCAGAGTTTCTCCCAGCCTGGGGAGCTCCTGGAAGATGCCCCTCAACCTCCTCAAGCCCCCCATGGTGGCAGCTGCAATTGGGGGACTTGCTTTGATGCTTCGAAGTGCAGGGGTGGTGGCCTCAAAGTGTCCATGTACCCTGCTGCCGGGACTCTGTCTGACACTCACCGCAGGATCCTGGCTTCCATCGAGAGCTCCCACTACCACACAGGCAGCCCCGCTGATGCCTGCCTCCTCCTCCTCCTGGACAGCCCAGCTGGGAGGTGCAGCCAAGTGCCCCCTCAATGGAATGGGGGCAGGAACCATCTGGTCCTCAGCCTCCACCCAGCCCCCTGCCCCTGGCCCTTCCAGCTGGGACAGGCCATGGTGGCCGAGGCCAGCCCCACCGTGGACACCTTCAGAGCAGGCTTTGACGTGGCCCTGCCGCTTCTCCCTGAAGCCCACCCATTGAGAGGTGGGGCACCTGGCCAGCTGAGGCAGCACAGCCCCCACCCCGGGGTGGCCCTGCTAGCCCTGGCAGAGGAGAGGGGCAGGTGGCGCACAGCAGGCACCAACTTCTCTGGCTGCCCCTGGGATGGGAGCTGTGAGCGGGACCGCGGACCTGAGCAGTAAGTAGACCTTTCCCCTTCAGGGCTGGATGGGAGGGGTCTTTGATGATAGCCCAGAGGCTCGGATAGAGGGCTGGGTTGAAGTGGGAGAATTGAGATGCTGGTCCTGGCAAATTTAGGCCTCAGCTGCGGCAGGAGGGAGTCAGATCAGACTGCAGAGAACACTACCACCAAGATAGTGATTTGCCACCAGGGGTGTCTAAGGTTCTGAAGTTCCCCTCTGGGGATCTTTGAAAACATAAAACATGATTCATTCCTACTTACTCTTTTTCTCTTATTCCAATCCCTCCTTCCCTAATATTTTATTTAACATATACTTCTATAGTGCTTACTCTGTACTAGGCACTTTTCTAAATAATGATAATAAAATAATACTAATTGCTATCATTTAAGTGTTTGTATACCAGACACTGCAGTTCAGAGAGATCAAGCAACTTGCATGAGGCCACCTAGCCAGAAAGAGTGCAGCCAGTATTTTAATACAGAATTGAATGTCTCCAAAGCCTTCAGCATTAGAATTCGTGAGTTTTAAGCAAGTCTATGATCAACCCCGTCAAATGCCTCAGAGCCATGGAGATCAGTGACTGGTCACACATGGAAACTGATCCTATGTCTAATTTTGGGGGTTAGCCTCTCAAGGAAACAGCTTTTCATTACAGCAAATGTGAATTAGATCAGACCTACAGAAGAACTTCCTGCCGATAAGAGTGCCTGACCATACAGAGGAGCATGAGGACCATGGGACACAGAGGGCTGTTCAGATCCTTCCCTGTACCCAGGCTAGTTGGGCTGACACACCTCAGGTGATAAAGCCCTCAGCCCCTAAACCCCCAGGAGGCCAGCAGTATCCCAAGGTTGGCCGGGCCTGCAAGCAGGAAAGTTCTTTGGAGTTTGCCCGGGGCTCCCGCGGCAGGGGGCTCCCTCGCCATCTCCCAGGGCAGGCCTGAGTTGGAACCTGTCACCCTTGTGTTCTCCCTTGCCCCCTCCATCTGGCATCTCCCTATTCTCTGCTGTAACAACTGGGCTATTCCGAGCTCCACTTCCCTCCCAGGATTTCTTCACATGGCCACCCCCAGGCCCTCTGGGGCTTCTCTCAGCCACAGGGCTCTTGTGGGATGGAACCCTTTACTTCCTGAGGCATATGGGGCCTGCAGCGAGCCCAGCAGCCAGGGGCAGGAAGGAGTTGCTCTGCTTAGTCCCTGTGGCCCTTCTGCCAGGACATCCTTGGCGCCCTCAGCAGGCCCCTTGAAAAGTCGGTGGCAAGGTTCGTGGCTCACCATGGCCCACCCCACTTTTCTGATCAGGCACTTAACTACTAGTGTTCACAGAAGTTCTTTTGGCTGACTTTAGTTACTAGTATATACAGTTGGTCATCGGTAAATCTGAAAGCTCTTTTCAGCCTGAACTTCCTTGAGAAGCTGAAAGTTAGGGAGCTGCACACAGTAGGCAGGTGCTCACTTAAACGTTTACTGATTGATCCAAAATTGGCCAGAACTGGCCAAGGTTTTTCACTCAGTGTGAGACTGTCTGAGTGGCATTTCTGATGTTAATTTCCAAGGTGTGATGCCTAGCAGCCTCTAACTGTCCTCTGAACTTCCAAAGTTCTGTCTTTGGCCTCAGCCCACCTGCAGGTGACAGGATTTATCATCTCTGGAGTATCTTGAACCTCAGTTTCCCTGAAGTGCCCAGCAGCTGCCTGAGCTGGACAGTATAAGGACAAGTGAGAGGGAGGCCCAGTAGGCCTATAGCCACAGGGCCAGCCCCCAGAAGATGTGCTGAATAAACAAGTGCTGGCCAGAGAAAGAGGCAGTTCAGTCCCAGCCACTGTCCCACATTCTCTCACTCAGCTGGCAGGAGAGAGGGGGAGGGGAGGAAGCAAACACTTGGGGAGAGCTTGCCCTGGGCCAGGTGTTGTGCCAGCCACTTTACATGGACCATGGCTGGTCCTCTTTAGCGCTCTTCAAGGAAGGTGTTATCCCCATTTCAGGGAATGGGAAACTGAGGCTCAGAGAGTTGGAAGGAACCAGCCCAGGCCCTTCAGGGACAAGCTCCTGGATTCACCGCAGCCTCCCTCACGTTTCTGATGTGGCGCTTGGCAGCAGCCAAGCTGGAATTAAGCCCCCTGCACTTCTGGCTCTAAAGCCCGTGTTTTTCCACCTTCATTAAACAGTCTCCTGTTGCTTTGGAATAAGCCTCCACCCATTAAATTGTTATTTATTTAGTTTTATGAATAAGGAATTCATTCACATGGTACAAAATTCCAAAGACACAAAAGGGCATCACAAAAAGTCCCTCCCACCCATCTCCCACCACCCAGTTTTCCTTCCTGGGGCAACACTGTTTCTAGTTTGTCTTTTCTGAGTTACTCTTTGTGTGTGAAAACAACATGTATATATGCTTTCCTCATTTTTTATTTTTATTTTTTCACATAAATTCAATGCATTTGAAGTCTCCTGGCCCATCTACATTGGGCACAGGAGGTGCAGTGCGCAGGCCCACGACTCAGTGCCTAGGTCACACAGAAGTCACAACGCAGCCCTGCCAATAGGGCCCTGGGGTCATGGGTGGCCCCCCATTGATTCCAGCCTTGGGTACTGAGGTCCTGAGAATGTGGCAAGCATCTCACAAGGTCACAGAACCCTCAGGCTCATCCACTGTTACCACAATGTCCCCTCAATCACACACACGCACGCGCGCGCGCGCGCGCACACACACACACACACACACACACACACATGCGGGTGCTCTTCCAGCCTCTGCTTATTTACCTCTACTGATGGGGAACTCACCACCTCCCGAGCCCCCACTGGCTATTCCCAACCAGCTCCATAACTAGAATCTCTGCTGAAATTGACCTTTCAGACATTTGGTCCATTGGTCCTGGGTCTGTCCTCTATTGCCCATCAAGCATTTATTCATTTAGTACCCAGTAAGTGCCCGTTCTTAATGTGTACTAGCCCCTGGGCATACCTAGGTGAGGGAGGCACAGCCCCTGCCCTCAAGCAGCTCAGTCGTGTAGGAGAGACAGACAAATCACTGGTTGTGACCCACACTGTTAGGCACAGAGAAGCTGTGCAAGCTGCCTGCTGGCTCCTCTGCTTCAGAGCTGTGTGACCTCTTTAGGCTCGTTTTCTTCACCTGTAAAATGGTATACCAACAGTACATACCTCCATCTCATAGGGTTGCTGTGAGAGGGAAGTGAGTTAAAACATGTAACATACTCAGACCACTGCCTGCAACACAGTACTCAGAAAAGGTTAGCTTGGCTCATTAGTGCTACAGTACATGTTGGGGCTGTGGGAGCAGAGAGGAGAAAGCCATCTATGGAGGAGTCAAGGAGGGCTTCCCAGAAGAGGAGATGTTTGAACTTAGACATTAAGACCAAGTAGGAGGAACTCCTAAGGCTGCAAGGCAGGGAGGGGCGCTGCAGGCTGAGGGAGAAAGATGCACGAAGACACTGAGGAAAGGACAGTTAAGGAGGACTGAGGGGTATAGTTTATTCAGCAGGCTCTTTGTCTCTGGGTTCTCTGAAGCCTTAAACTTAGGGTTTTCAGCCCCTTAGGGCTTTACTGGGGGAAGAGGAGAGGGCTGTAGATGGCTGGTCCTGTGGCTTTCAGTGAGGCAGAGGGTGTCCTATTGTTTAACTTGTAGCTTCTTCCAGGAGAAGCCTGGTCGTCGCCTCATCACTGGAGATAAAGGGAAAGTGAGGGGTCCTCTCAGAGCAGTGCTCCCGGCGGTTCAGATCACTTGGGGTCAGGAGCTGGCACATCTCGGCTCTAGTTCCAGCCCTGCCCCAGCCCTTTCTGAGGTCTGAAGCCATCCTTGGGTCTCCCTGACACTGTCTCCCCATCTGTTCAGTGGGGTTGGTCCGGGCGCTAAGTACCCCCGGACTGCTTCTTGAAGGCTCAGACTGAGGGCCATGTGAGCCATACCTGAGGAGGGTCCCGGCCTTCTGGGCCCTATTCATCAGCCTCACTCTGAGTGGGCCCGTGAGTCCAGGAGTCCTCGCACCCACAGCGAGGTCTCGGGCACTGTGTCTGCAGGTGGGCAGTGGCCCTGAGGAGGCTGGGACTCCTGCCCTCCCCCCACCAGGCACACAGTCTGAGTGTGGGCCTGGGGCTGAGGAGAGTGGTGGGGAGGAACAGAGGAAGCCTGTCCTCTCCGGGAAGGGGCCTCTGGGCAGCAGCTTCCTGTGTGCTTCCAGGCTGGGGGCCCAGCCCACCTCAGGACAGAGGAGCCTTTCATGGGCCCGCGCTCTGGGGATGGGAAGAGGGCAGGGCATGGGGCCACTCAGGTGAGGGCTGCCCGAGAGGCTGTGGGTGGCAGAACAGCGGGAGGGCAAGCATGTGCATGTCCCAGTCAGGCGTGACCTTGGAAACATTAGGACGTGCCACCTCCCATTTTGTGAATAAAGAGACAGGAGCTCTGAGAAGAGAAGGGAGGTGTCTTAGGCCACCAAGGGCAGAGCTGGAAGCCAGGCTCCTGCCTTGTAGCCCAACTGTGCGTGAGGGTGGGCGTGAGGTTTGCATTGTGTTCATGTGTGGCTGTGAGTGTGCAACAATGTTAACATGAGAACACAATGGAGGGTTTACACATTGTGAATTTAGTAGTGTTGGGGTGCAAGGCTGGGGTGCCACAAGGGAGCCAGGTGGAGTGAGGAGCTGTCTCGGGCCTTATATGTGTGGGACCCCCTCCTGTGCCTCCTTAGGACTCACCCTGGGGCAATGCTACCCAATGCCACCTTCTGCCTCATTCCTGGCCTCCGTCCTGATGCCTTGCACTTCCTCCAAGCCCTGCAGGTACCACCCCAACTTGGGCATCCCCCGCCCCTGTCCCTCCAGACCCCTGACCTAGCTGGGCCTGGGCCTGGGCCTAGGCCATGGGAAGGGGCGGTGAGCTGCCTACTCCTTCGTGCTGGGATTTGGATGTGCCTGTAGCCATATTCGCCAACCCCTTGGCACAGCAGCTCACCCCCTTCACCAAAAACCCATTTTCTCTCCTCGTTGCCCCTTGCATCCAACAGCAGCAGCTGCCAACTCGGAACTGGGAGGGGGGTGAGTGTTTGCATGGTGGGACTGGGCTTCCCAGTGACCCCCTTACCCCCCAGGCTGGCTGCATCCCTGTGCTTCTCAGCCCTCGATGGGAGCTGCCCTTCTCCGAGGTCATCGACTGGACCAAGGCGGCCATTGTCACTGATGAGAGGCTCCCACTTCAGGTCGCTCAGGCCCTGCCCACAGGATGGGAACTGAACCTCGCCCGTGGGAGGACCCTGGGGGTCTGGCACTCCTTCTGGCCTCAAGCCTCCTTCCTATCCCTGATCTCTGTGTATGGATGAATTTTCCCCCAGCCCCAAGCCTCTGGGGCTCCCACAGGGTCAGATGGAGGCAGAGGCTCTTGAAATAGCCTCTTTCAGCCTGTTTCCCCATCTGTACAATGGAAAGAGTTAGACCAGATGATCACGGGCTCAGCCCCACTACTCCGTGACTGCTTAGATACCCAATATAAGCAAAGTCCACAAAAAAAAACCCCACAAAATCTGAGTGCCTCTATGGAGCTGAGGGTGGGAAAGCAAAAGGCTCAGTGACTTTTCCATCTGATGAAATAACAGTGTCCGGCTCTGAAAAACAGATGTATGTGAACCCCCTGAGAAGTGAGAATGGCGTGGGTAGGCAATAACAATAGCTATCATTCACTGAGCTCTGCGATGTACTAAGCCCTTACTGTGTATTAGCTAATGTAATCCTCACACCTTCCCTATGCGGTTTGAGGAAACAAACTCAGAGAGGTTAAGTAGTTTGTCCAGTCACACAGTTACTATTAAGTGGCATTTAAACTTGGCTCTGTGTGACCCTTGAACTCTCGATTACTAAAACATTTGGGGTTTGCTAAATTACCAGGGTGGCTGCTGCTAACCCACTGGAGAACCATGGGGAGAGTTCAAGGTTCCTAAACCTCTAGCCTAGGTTTTCTCCACCCCAGGGTCAGGCAGGGCCTCAGAAGGCCCCACACCTTCTCTCTTTCTCCCTTTGTGCCCCAGGTCCTGGCTGCCCTCCAGGAGATGCCCCTAACACGCGTCCTTGCCCTCCGTCAGCAGACCCAGTTTCTGTGGGATGCCTACTTCTCCTCAGTGGAGAAAGTCATCCATACCACTCTGGAGGTGAGACAGACTCACCTGATGGGGGCCCTGCCTCCTCCGCATCCCCTCCACACTCCTCTGTCCAGACACCTCTGCCCTGGTGTTTGGGCTTCCCTCTGAAGATGCTTCTGGGATGAATCTGAGACTTCGCTCTGAGCTCCTGGACAAGTTCCTTCTCTAATCATGGCCTCAGTTTCCCCATCTGTAGAGGGACACTGTGGCGAATAGATTTCAAAGCATGTGCCAGCTCCAGCTAATGGGCAGTGGCTGCCTGGGGCACTGTGTTGGGAGGGATTCTGGGTCAGGAAAGAATATCATAACCTGTTAGTGATGTCTGCCATGAGTGAGGAAAATAAAGGAGGCAGCATCTGGACACCATCACTGAGTGCCCCCTACTCTGGACTGGGGTGTCGGAACCCTTCTGTGCCCAGCGATCTGGATGCAGCTGCTGCCTTCCCTGCAGCCTGAAGGGGAAGGTGTGGGGCTGCACCACGTCCTCAGACCTGTAGCCGCAAGCTCTGTTCCTGCTGCACGGCCCTCTCATTTCACAGATTATTCAGGACCGCATCTTTGGAGCACCTGCTCACCCCTCGCTACTGTGGAACAGCCCCCCAGGGGCACTCCTGGCCCTGCCCACTTTTTCTACAAGCCCCTCGGACTTCCCCTTCTACCACCTACAACAGGGTATGCCTGGGGGATGGGACAGCCTGAGGTCCCCTCCCCAACTCTCCCCAACTCTGCCCCAACCTCAACCAGAGAGCCCACTAAGCCCCTCCCCCTCCCCAAGTCCCCAGCGTCCCTCCTGGCTCCCGGAGTCCCCAGCTCAGGTCACTCTCCAGGGGGTGCTCTCCCCTCCCTAATAGCCTGTGTCTCATTCCCCCAGGCTCTCGCCCTGTGGGCAGGTTCAGCGCCCTGATCTGGGTGGGGGCCCCAGGCCAGCCCCCTCTGAAGCTCATCCAGGCGGTGGCAGGCTCCCAGCACTGTGCCCAGGTCTGCCCCCTTGCCAGCGTGTTCCCTGGGATCCAGGGTGGGGGCAAGGAACAGGGCAGGGCCCTTGAAGACATCTAGCCCCAAGGATAAGCACACATTTTAGGGGGAGGATTTTCAAATACCACTGCTGTCTTCCTCTTCAAATTCTGAGTTTCTTGTTCCTTTCCCCCATCCCTATCCCTCCCTCCTTCATGGAGACTGACGAAGCCACCTAAAAAGAAGGTGCCTCTTGGGGAGGCTGAGAAATAAACATACATGCATTTACTCATTTATTCACCCAGAGGTCATTTTCTGAGCACAGGCCTTGGGCTCCATGCTGAGGATGCAGAAGAAAAGTAGGAAAGAATTCTGCGAAGGATAGGTTCGCTTAGCATTTCCAGGCACACAGGCCATCCCATCTCATCCAGAGAGGCCCGATGAACTCTTGAGCGCACTCAGCCGAGGGAAGCAGTCAGCTCAGCCAGGGCACAAAGACGGGACCTTTGAGAAGGGCTGGGAACATCAAGGAGCAGAAGGAAGAAAGAGGCAACAGTTGAGAGAAGATGGGGATGGGGCCTGGGGTCAGGGCCTGGGCTGGGTGCTGGGTGCTACCGCAACCCATTCTCTTGAGTCCTAATGATGCAGAGAGCTACCTTCCTGTCCTTGGAATTCCTGCCTTCTGGAAGCCCAGGGACACAAATAGGAAGGGCAGCAATGAAAGGCAACTATTCTTTCCTCCCAAACTCACGTATACAGCTGCTTTTCCATACTTCTACTTGAGAATGATCACTTCTGGAACCCCACCCCCACCCCCACCCCTTCTGACCCGTTTTCCTCCTAGATCTTGATTCTCTGGAGCAATGAGAAGCCACCCCCTCCCAGGTGGCCCAAGACAGCAGTGCCTTTGACAGTCATCGATGGGCACAGGAAGGTGAGGAATGGGGAGTGGCATGGAAGTGGGGCAGTCGGCCCCTGGATGCTGGGCCCTGGGGAGGGCACACACAGGGTGCTTGACTTGGGCCTGAGCCAGAGTTGAACTTAAGTTGGGCCTGAAGCTAGTTGAGAAGTCCTTCCTCACACGTGACTTAAGCATCTTCCCAGGTGGACTTTGCTTTTGTGGTGCGGCAGAGCTTCCTGGAGATGACGGTGGGCTTTCCGACATGGGTGTCAGCTGCAGGCCTAATAGAAATGATTCTCCTCCAACCCTGGCCCTTGTGGATTATGCTTCCAGAAAACTGGGTTTTATGTGATGAGGGAAGGCAGAGGGAGGACACTGGATGTTTGGGGCGAGAGATGGAGGAAAAACCTGGGATCCTGAGGAAAGATGGACAGATGGCAGGAAATGGGTCAGAGAGGCAGCTTCTGAGAACCAGGGATGGTGTGAGCCACCTGCTGGGATGGCATGATCCTGGGCAAGTGCCTGCATCTCTCTGGACCTGTTTCTTTCAAACGAAGGATGTCTGACACCACGAGGGGTTGAAGTGAGCATCTAATGTGACAATAGAGGAACCCTGAGGTGTCAAAGCTGGAAGGGCCCCTAGACATGAACTGGCTCATTTTACCAATGGGGAAATTAAAGTCCAGAGAGGTAAAATGAGTCCCTTGGGTCCAAGGTCTGTGTAGGCTTGCTGTTTTCACTGCCCTTCCTTCTTTACAATGCCTGCAGTGGCTCCCGCTTAGCAGACACTCAGATAGTCACTGTGAGAGCCTGGAGAGGGTTCCCGTGGCTGAGTTGCCCTCACCTCCCTTCCACTGCAGGTCAGTGACCGCTTCTTCCCATACAGTGCCATCAGTACTGATGCTATCCTCAGCCTCGATGCCCACAGCAGTCTTTCCACAAATGAGGTGAGGACTGGGCCCAAGAGGGGCCCAGTGTGGGTGGGGACAGAGCCAGAGGGCCCTGGCAGCCCCTTAGATTCCTAGAGCCGGGAGGACCAGAGGTCAAGAGGTCTAGCCTCCTGCTTTTGAATCCACCCTAGTGAGCCAATCAGCTTCAGCCCTCTCCCTAGAAATCTAACAGAAGCTTCTCACAGGCTTTCAAAAACCTTGTCAGCCCCCAGTTTGAAAAGCATTTGTGTCTAGCTGCAGTTGGGAACATTCCCCTAAACATCCCCTGGAAACCTCCATGCTGCCATCTCCTCTCCCATGCCCGAGGCCAGGCCAGCCTGGCCTCTGTATTGCTGGACATTTCTGACTGCCAGCGAGCCCCTCCTCACGTATCTCCCCAGGTGGACTTTGGTTTTGCGGTGTGGCAGAGCTTCCCAGAGCGGATGGTGGGCTTTCTGGCATGCAGCCATTTCTGGGATGAGGCCCAGGGTGGCTGGGGCTACACCACCCAGAGGGCCAACAAGTTCTCCATGGTTCTCACCTCGGCTGCCTTCTACCACAGGTACATGCGGTAGTGTTGGTGCGGGGTCAGGGGGCCAGACCCCTTTAACCCGAGTAAGGTGGCACGGGAGTGAGCCCAGCAGTCAGCCTAGAGCCCAGAGATGCAGGTTGGAAGTGGGATCTGCCACTTCCCAGTAATATGATGGGCAAGTCTCCTCACCTCTCTTGAGGTTCAGGTTCCTCACCTGTAAAATGTATACACCTCACAACGCTAGTGTGATACCCAAATGCAAACACCATATGAAGTCATTGGCACACAGGTGGCCAACAAATGGTAGCTAGTTGTTTTAAGTACAGCCACACAAAGGGTACGGACAGTGTTGCGTGTGGTGGTGGGGGGGGCTTTGTGACAAAAAACGGCCCTACTGCTTCGTAAATGCGTGTGATGGGCTGGGGAAGCTGGGTACCCCAGGCCTTCTAGAAGCTGCCTGGAGCACCCCAGTCTTGGGGTAGGGACTAAATTCTGGAGGGCCTCTTCAGAGGGGCTCCTTAAACATGTTTAAATCAAGTATGTGTAACTAGTGATCTCCTGTAGATTTACCCAAGAGCTCTGCAGGGAGTCCTCACAATGAAGAATACCCCTCACGTCGGCAGGGTGGGCCCAGATGTTGCGTAGGAGGGCGGTGTGAAGCAGGCCCACCTGGAGCAGCATCAGCCTGGTTAAGCCATAGCCTTCCTGAACTTGGTCTTTGGACTGCCATGTCTGCTGGCCTTGGGACCAGCTGACCTCCCACCTCATTCTGGCTTTGGCTTCAGACCTCAGAGCCCAGGGGTGGGGGCCCCAAGGACTGTGAGGGGAGGGCCAGGGAGCATACGACTAGCTGCCACAGAACAGTGCACAGCAGTTGGTACTCGGGCCAGGAACAGTCTGAGGCAGTCAGGGCTCTGAGAGGGGCCGGGGCTTTGGTGAGAGGATTGGGGGCTGGGCAAGGGGAGAGTGAGATCAGAAGGGAGGAGCACAGGGTGTGGGGGAGAACTCGGCTGTCCCCCCTTGCCTAGGTATTACCACACCCTATTCACCTACTCCCTGCCCAAGGCTCTGAGGACCCTGGCAGATGAGGCACCCAGCTGTGCAGACGTCCTGATGAACTTCCTAGTATCAGCAGTCACCAAGCTGCCTCCTATCAAGGTGCCCTATGGGAAGTGGCATCAGGATGCCAGGCTCCCGCTGGTGAGGACTGACTGGGAGAGGACACTGGCTGGGGAAGGGACACCCTTTCACTGTCTAATCCAAACCCTTTGTGCTGCAGGAGGGCAGGGGAGATGTGTGGGTTCTGAAGGACAGAGAAGCCCTCTATTTCTCCTCCCTCTCTTAGGCACCTGGAGGCCCAGGGTCCAGGCCAGAGCTGCAGCGCTTTGCACCGGACTGCATCAACCAGACGGCAGTAGGGTTCGGCCACATGCCCCTGGTGTCATCTCACCTCCGTCTGGACCCAGTGCTCTTCAAGGACCCCGTGTCTGTGCTGCGCAAGAAGTATCGAAGCCTGGAGAAGCCCTAGATGGGACCAAGTGAGACCCCTGCCTGCTCCCAGGGACTGCTGCCCCTGCTTGGGGTAGGGGAAGAGAGGCTCAGCTATCTCCCCATCCCCCAGCCCCGCTGCCAGTAGCAATTCCCAGGGATTCCGTGGCCGTGCCTCTGCTGCCGCTGACCCCTTTGCCTGGAATGCCCTTCTCGGCTCCTCTGCCGAGCTGACTTCTACTTGTCTCTCAGATCCTCGCCTCCTGCACGGACTTGCCATCCCCACCCCATCCTCTGCGCTTGCACAGCCGGTGTTTCCCGCAGACCTGACAGTCCATGCTGCCTGGCCAGGTACATCATCAGGCCCCATGAATGGCCTGGGCGCTCCAGGAGGGTAGGGTCGTGTCCCCTTCTCTCTCACCTGGCAGATGCGCCACAAATACTTGACGAGCAGATAGATGGAAGGTATCAACTGTGTGCCTGGCCCTATGCCGACGGTGGCGGGAGTGCGGAGTGTGATGAGGGAGAGACAAAGCTCAGTCCCCCACCCCCGGGACTCCTAGTCCGACGGGAAGGCGGCTACCCACAGACGCCTGGGTTGCCAGACGTAATCCTTGCGCCCCAGCGATGGAACAAAGAGGCGCAGGGAAGCCCGTTTCAGGACTACCCGACTTGGGGGAGCAGGGTGAGGAGGGGAGAAGAGATGGGAACGCAGGTGGGCAGCCCCCGGCCCGCTCTGCATTACCAGCCTGGACCACTAGAGGTCAGCGCCGCACCGCGCTCCCTCCTCGCCAACGGGAAGCGAGTCCTCAACAGCGTCCCGTCCGCTGGCGCGGGAGTGTTGGTCAGGTGCAGCCCCAGGTCTGGAGCGGGGGAATCGAAGGAATGGCCCCGCCCCCTCGGGCAACGTACTCGGGACTAAGAAGGGGCCAGCCATTATCCAGGTGGGCTGGGTGGGAGGAGTTCCGCAGGGCCGTGGTGGTCGCCCTGGAGTAGGGGAAGGAATGCTGAGCGCCCCCGCTTCATCCCCCTGGAACTGGAATTCTCACTTCCGAAATAAAGCGCGTGTCCTTGCTCCTAATGCTCAGGCTATAAATACCCCTACAGCAGCTGCGCCGGGGAGGAGGCCTCAGGGCTGGCCTGGCCGCAGGGGCAGCTCTAGAGGGGCGGGGATGGTGGGCCCAGCCAGGTCCTGGTGTTTTCCTGCTTTGAGGCTTCACAGCTTTGGACACTCCCGTGACTGGATTGCTGGCCAGAACATGCTGTCCCCCCCTCAAGGCCTCCCACCCCTCTCCTCCAGCTTAACCTCTGGCCCTGGACGATTCCAGTCCTCCCTGGGGCCGGTCACAGCTGAGGGTGCAGAGGGCCCTCCCTTGGACTGCTAGGTGCTTGAGGTGGAGCCGGGACTGGGAGTTAAATGGGAGGAGCTGCAGCCTGGCCCAGGGTCAAGAACAGTTGAGGGTGGGTGAGGAAGCCCACAGCTGCAGCCCAGGCAGCCTTCCCAGGGTGGAGAGGGCTCCCAGTGCCAGGCCCAGCCACAGGAAAGAGGCACCTTTGCCCACCCCCTCACCCCTCGCCACCCAGAGCACTGAACTCCATGGGGAGGGCACTGCCAGCCAGGCTCAAGGGCTCACACTGTACCAGCGTGTAGCCCAGAACAGGTCCCTGGCCCCTGCTGTGGGGGGAGGCCTAGGGGAGTTAAGCAGAAGGCCCAGGCTTGCCTCACCCTGGCTACTGCAACTTCACACAAGTGACTTACCCTCTCTGGACCTCAGCTTGCTCATCTGTAGAAAGGGAGCACCAAGTGACTGTGTCCTGAGAGGGGTGTCAGGACTGAGCACACAGCCAGGCTCAGGGTCCAGGTTGTTGGGCTGGTGTGGCCGGGAGAGGGGTGTTTGATTCCCCTGAGACTGGGGTGGAGTGTGGCCATCAGCTATCTCCCCCCAATACCCACTTCCAAACCATTACAAATGACTTCCCACATATTTTGAGGGTCTGACCCTGACCTAGACCACAGGCAACCCTGGATAACAATGCTGGAAAGGCACAAAGAGGTCATTTCACAGATGGGAAGAGAAGCTCAGAGGGAAGGCCAGGGACCAGCCTCTCCTCTTCCTGCCATGGGTCAGGACAGAGTCCAGACAAACTCCGTGCTGCCCCAGAGGAGGCTGGGAAGCCCACCTGACTCCCCAGGCTGCATCTTCCTAGAACGATGACACAAGTAGCTGCTCTTCAATGAACATCAGGTGCTTTGCAGACATTGGCTCCAGTCCTCACAACCACCCAGAGACAGGTGTTACTGTTCTCAGATGGGGGCACTTGTTGGTGATGGCAGCCAGATCACCAGACCAGGGCCACCTGATTGGGCACACTGCCTCCTCTAAGACTGGGGATGGGTCTCCCTTCTTCATCTTGTAAACACAAGCCAGATTCCAATTCAGAATCTACATACACCCCAGGAAGCCAGTGTCTCCTATTCCAGGCACACAGGACCTCTTTGTCCTCTGTCCCCAAGTTCTGAGCAGGTCAGACCATACCTGCAATAGAGCTGGCCCCATCATACCTGCTTTCAGGCTCCAGGACCCCTGGACTCTATCAGGCAAGAGAGGTGGCCCCGGGGCCAGGCAACTGTTAGGGCGGGGCCCCTGAAATCTCTGCCCCACCACTGCCCATGGCTATGGCATCTATGTGTTGGCACAGCCCCCTGGGCTGGGGGAATGAGGGAAGCAGAAACCAGCCAGGTCCTTACCTGTCAGAGCCTCCTCCCCCAGGAAGGGGAGACATTTGGGTCACAGCTGAAGTGATTAAGGCACAGATAGGCCTCGAGTGCCCCCCTCGGTCCCCATCTCAGGGGGACAAGCATGAGAGTGCAGGTCCTCACAACCCCCCCACCCCCAAGGGCTTCTTAACCCACATTGTAATATGCAGAGGGAGAGCTCTGTTTCAGGGCTTCTTCACAGATTCATAAGGCAAAGGCCAGACTGAAAACGGGAAATGAGGCAAGTGAGCGAAGGGACGCTGCAGTCAGTCTCCCCACTGTCCCCCGTCACTGTGCCTTTTTGCCTGTCCAGAGGCTGGTGGTAGGACAGCATTAGCTGAGGATTGGACCCCAAACCGAGCCCTGCTGGGAGCCACCCCAGGAGCTGGAGGAGCAGCGTCACGAAAGCTTTTCACTTGCCGAGTCTCCAGCCAGGGCCTGGCTGTAGTCGGGTCGGGAGGCAGGGGAGGAGCCTCATTCCCAGAGTGGGGAAAGGCTCCTCCACACTGAACATGGGCAGAGGTCAGGAGAGGGACCTGGTCTATAACAGCCAGGGTAGGCAGTCTTAGCTGGGCTTGGGGGACACTCAGCCCTGCCACCTGCAGGTCCTATCCATGCCCCAGCTGGCACCTGCTAGGCAGTCAGTCCGAGGGGCCTTGGCATGCCTGACACTCCTTCATGTCCTCAGAGTAGTCCTCGATCTGGATGGTCATGGTGTGGAAATGGAACTTCCCCTGCAGGCAGGCGCTGGCTGCCTTCAGCACAGCCTGGGCATCTGCATTCTGAGCTGGTGGCCAAGAAGACCCACCAGGCACCAGAGAACCATTTATTTACTCTTGGGTCCTTAGGAGTAGTTGGTAGCTTATCTCATGCCCTACCCCCAGGAGAACAGGATAAGGGGCCATGAGCATCAAGAAACCTCCAGACTCTACTCCTGCACCAGGCAACCCTCCAGTCCCCAGACCTGGCACAATCCTGGAAGAACAGGGAAAGCACTGGCTTTAAGGCTGGGAGTCTTTCCTCTGCCACCTATTAGTTCTAAAAGCCTGGGCAAGTGACTTCATAACCCACCTCACCCCCAGCCAGTTTATCTCTAAATGGGATTCTGATGATCGAATGAAATAATGTATGTAAAATGCTCAGCATGCGGCCAGGTTCAATGCCCAGGCACTGCAAGCATCTGAGGTCGCTGGATGCTTCGGAGACACCCCAGGCCTCTGGCTGCCTCTCTCCATCACCCCACCCTGCGTATCCCAACCACTCACCGATAGCGATGTGGACAGACAGCACGGGCTGGGCCACGGTCAGCGCCCAGATATGCAGGCTGTGCAAGGCTTCCACCCCCTCCACCGACAGCAGCAGATCCCTCACAGTCGTGAAGTCCACGCCCTTGGGGGTCCCTGGGGATGGCAGGGACAGGGGCTGAAGGAAACTGCACCCTCCCACCCATGCTGGTTCCTGCCCCAAATATGTCAGCTCCTCAGGGAAGACCCCCTCGGCCAGCAGATCGCTCTTGTCCCCACCTGCCAACGAGCTCCATCATATCACCGTGTGGTATTTTCCTCTTCACAACGCTGTCTGAAATTGTCCTATTTGTTCGTTTCTTGTCTGTCTCCCCCTCCCAAATGGAAACCCCATGACAGCAGGAGAGTGCTTTATTACCATGTCCTCAGTGCCTGTTCCCTAGCTGATGCTCAGTAAGTGTGTTTTGTAATGGAAGAAGGGTAGAAGGGACCTGGGGATCCCTGTACCCAGACAGGGCACCGTCATCATCACCTTTATCTGGATCAGCACATTCTGGGAGACAAAGCTTTGACCTGCAGTCAGACACTTCTGCTGACCCCAAACCAGCACCCAACTTCAGGCTGACCCTGATCCCACAGAGGCCATGACCCAAATCCCTGGGGCAAAAGAAAACTGGCGAAGGAGTGTCACAACTCAGGGCAAGCCATTCACCACCAAGTAAGCCCTCAGAGCCCAGCCACATCCTCCTGAGGCAGGGGCCTCAGAAAGGAAGGCCTGAGCTGCAGGGGATTGAATTTGGCAGCCTTGTCCCACATTGACTGTCTTTTCCTGAGCCTCAGTCCCCTGACTCCCTTGCAGTGGGAAGCATAATCTTCACACCTCTCTGCCTGCTCAGGAGGTGGAGGGGAAGGGCCAGAGCTGCCAGTGCTGTTACAGACGCTACCCAGGAGCCGCGTGACTAGGCAGGGAGGATACATCCCATCTTAGCTGGGCTTGGGGGACACTCAGCCCTGCCACCTGCAGGTCCTATCCATGCCCCAGCTGGCACCTGCTAGGCAGTCAGTCCGAGGGGCCTTGGCATGCCTGACACTCCTTCATGTCCTCAGAGTAGTCCTCGATCTGGATGGTCATGGTGTGGAAATGGAACTTCCCCTGCAGGCAGGCGCTGGCTGCCTTCAGCACAGCCTGGGCATCTGCATTCTGAGCTGGTGGCCAAGAAGACCCACCAGGCACCAGAGAACCATTTATTTACTCTTGGGTCCTTAGGAGTAGTTGGTAGCTTATCTCATGCCCTACCCCCAGGAGAACAGGATAAGGGGCCATGAGCATCAAGAAACCTCCAGACTCTACTCCTGCACCAGGCAACCCTCCAGTCCCCAGACCTGGCACAATCCTGGAAGAACAGGGAAAGCACTGGCTTTAAGGCTGGGAGTCTTTCCTCTGCCACCTATTAGTTCTAAAAGCCTGGGCAAGTGACTTCATAACCCACCTCACCCCCAGCCAGTTTATCTCTAAATGGGATTCTGATGATCGAATGAAATAATGTATGTAAAATGCTCAGCATGCGGCCAGGTTCAATGCCCAGGCACTGCAAGCATCTGAGGTCGCTGGATGCTTCGGAGACACCCCAGGCCTCTGGCTGCCTCTCTCCATCACCCCACCCTGCGTATCCCAACCACTCACCGATAGCGATGTGGACAGACAGCACGGGCTGGGCCACGGTCAGCGCCCAGATATGCAGGCTGTGCAAGGCTTCCACCCCCTCCACCGACAGCAGCAGATCCCTCACAGTCGTGAAGTCCACGCCCTTGGGGGTCCCTGGGGATGGCAGGGACAGGGGCTGAAGGAAACTGCACCCTCCCACCCATGCTGGTTCCTGCCCCAAATATGTCAGCTCCTCAGGGAAGACCCCCTCGGCCAGCAGATCGCTCTTGTCCCCACCTGCCAACGAGCTCCATCATATCACCGTGTGGTATTTTCCTCTTCACAACGCTGTCTGAAATTGTCCTATTTGTTCGTTTCTTGTCTGTCTCCCCCTCCCAAATGGAAACCCCATGACAGCAGGAGAGTGCTTTATTACCATGTCCTCAGTGCCTGTTCCCTAGCTGATGCTCAGTAAGTGTGTTTTGTAATGGAAGAAGGGTAGAAGGGACCTGGGGATCCCTGTACCCAGACAGGGCACCGTCATCATCACCTTTATCTGGATCAGCACATTCTGGGAGACAAAGCTTTGACCTGCAGTCAGACACTTCTGCTGACCCCAAACCAGCACCCAACTTCAGGCTGACCCTGATCCCACAGAGGCCATGACCCAAATCCCTGGGGCAAAAGAAAACTGGCGAAGGAGTGTCACAACTCAGGGCAAGCCATTCACCACCAAGTAAGCCCTCAGAGCCCAGCCACATCCTCCTGAGGCAGGGGCCTCAGAAAGGAAGGCCTGAGCTGCAGGGGATTGAATTTGGCAGCCTTGTCCCACATTGACTGTCTTTTCCTGAGCCTCAGTCCCCTGACTCCCTTGCAGTGGGAAGCATAATCTTCACACCTCTCTGCCTGCTCAGGAGGTGGAGGGGAAGGGCCAGAGCTGCCAGTGCTGTTACAGACGCTACCCAGGAGCCGCGTGACTAGGCAGGGAGGATACATCCCAGCAGAGAGGAGGCACCCCTGAGGCCAAGGGGAGGGGAAGGCACAGTCCAGGGGACATTTCCAGGAAAGGCCACACCTGAGGGCTCTGCTGGCTGCCAAGACTGGGTTGGGGCCACAGGTGTTCCAGCCTCCGCCAAGTTCCGGACTGTGGCTCCCAGCCAGTGTGCTGGAATCCCCGCTCCCTGCACTGCCATTAGAGCCAGAGAGCCAAGGGTGAAAAGCAAGCTCAAGCTGGGGGTTACCTTCCATCAGCACCAGGATCACATCTCTCAGGATGGTCAAGGTCGTCCCCAGGACCAGGATGGAGAAGAGGAAGGTGCAGATGGGATCTACATACTTGTACTCTGGCTACAGAAAAAGAAGGCAGAGCTGGGGTTCATCACCCAGCACCTCAGCCTCCCTTCTCTCTTCCCACCCAGCACTGAGTCAGGGAGAGGGGCTCTCTCTGTGGGGTGGGCATGAGCCTATCTGCCTTCCAGTTCTCTACCTTTTATTCCATGTCCAGGAAAATGGGCAGGATAGACTGCAGTTCAGGACAAGACACAGCCCCTTCCCACCCGTCCCTGCCCAAGGAACAGAACTAAAAGGACTCTTGGATAACATCTGCTCCAACATTCCCATTTATAGATGGTGAAACTGAGGATCACTTGCTCTACAGCCCATGGCTAGTGGAAAGTGAAACCAGGCCTCAAACCCAAAGCCCGGCTCTTTCCGCTACACCACCCTGCCTCTATGTGATGGGCACTGCCCAGGCTTCAGCAGCACACAGTCCTGGGTTTGAATTTAGCTCCACAATTCACCAGCTGTGTGACTGTACACATGACTGGACCTTTCTGAGTTTCAGCAAACACTACCAACCTACCCTTCAGGGTCACCATGAAGATCAGAATTGCTGGCACATGGTAGGTATTGGATAAATGCTCCTTCCCTCTCCCCACCCTTTTGCCCAGAGCTGGGAGAGAGCTAGAATCTCTGAAGGGCCTGTGCAGAGAAGAGCCCCCAGATGCTCTACACTCTCCCACAACCTCCCCGCAAGCCCACCTCCCTCTGTCCCCATCTCTGACCTTGAAGTATAAAATATAGGCTGCCACCAGGACACCTAAACTCTGCAGAAAGTCTCCAACCACATGGATAAAGGCAGCTCGGACACTGGGGTTCTGCTGCTGGCTGGTGTCATGGCTGTGCCCATGGCCAGACTGGTGAAGTATCAAACCCATCCTACAGAAGTGGAGACAAATCCAAGGGGTTCACCAAGGTAGCATTAGGGCTGGTCTTGTGGGGCCAAAATCCCAACCCCCCAGCTTCATGATTCTTTTGACCACGTGAGGAGCCCAGTCCACGTGGCCTTGGGTCAGAGTGCTGAAGGACAAAGGGCTCAGCTCCACTGTCAGGCTGACTGTGAGCACAAAAATGCCCGGTGCCTAGTCCTAGAGCAGGAAGGCATGATGGAGGTCACGTAAATCCCGCCACCATGCCACAATGAGAGAGCTGAGGCCTAGAGAGGGACATGAGCTGCCCAAGGCCACTGAGCAAGGAAGACAAAGCCTAAACGAGACACCCGTGCTCTGCATACCTTCTCAGTGAGAACGGTATCAGGTACACCAGTTTGAAAAAGGGCTTGGATTCTGTTCCTAAGGAAATCTGCCTCTGCAAGAGCTGGGCTTACCCCCCCTCTCACTTCAGATATGAGGTTCCTAGGTTATTCACTCACACACATGGGAGGTGGCGGGGGGGGATTGATGCTGCCCCAGATCTACAGCTCCTGATGGCCTCAGCCTAGGCCTGAGGCAGGATCGAGGTGTTTCAGGTGCCAGAGCTCAGACCATTAGGGGAATCTTGTCCCCTGGCCTATACCGGAGCGGAGCATAGCCAGACACTAGCAGCAGACATGTGGGTATGCATGTGAGAAGTGGGAGGGGGAGGCGGGACTCCTGGGGAACTGAGGCCGCACTTACATGATGTTCACAGCCACAGCACAGCCAGATGTGATGAGCATGGTGCCCCCCTCGATCTCATAGTCCCCAGAGATCAGCCGCTCCACCGCCAGGTACACCAGCACTCCAGTCACAACCCAGATGGACAGCACCGAGAGCAGGGCTCCCAGGATCTCTGGGGAAGAACCCAACCCCAACACCGATCTCAGTACAGGGCCTTCAGGAGGACAAGGCCCCCCTTCCCTCTGCGACCCTCCTCCCTCTGCCTGCGAAGCCAGGCACCCCTGGGCTCTGCTGAAAGGCCGGCCAGTGCGGGTGCACCTTACCCTGCACGCATACAGCAGAGAATGTCAGGGGTGGGGGAAACTCAGAAGTCATCTGGGTCGGCCCTTTTTGTTTTACATGTAAGTAAACAGACTTACTAAAATACATGCCCATTGCTCATCTGGCAAACTGAGGCTTCTGAGGAGAGACTGGGCCATCTTCCACCAAGAAGAAAATGACAGTGCAGCTCAGAGATACATGAAAGAGGGTTTAAAGCTTGACAATAGATCCATGGAGTTCTGTGCAGAGTTAATGCCATAGTCATCCGTTCGTGAAGTTTGGCCACTCCATTTCTTAGGAGGTGACTCTCCTTCCCAGCAGACTGGGAGTTCCCAGAGGACAGAGGACCAGGGCTCTGCCCTCAGACCGTTAGCTCCCAAAGGACAGAAGCCAAGGCTGACATCCTCTTACCCCACCCAAGTCACCCTCCTGGCCTCACTCAGGGAAGCCTCCTGATAACCTGTGTCTTGACCTGCCCCCTCTCCCAACCCATTCCCAGCCCAACCAGGGCCCTCACCAGCTCGCTGCCAGCCAAAGTTCATGGTCTTGGTGGCCGGCCGGGAGGACATCCAGAGGGAGCAGAGGCTGATGAGCATGCTGGCGAAGTCAGTGAGCAGGTGAGCTGCATCAGTCATGACCGCCAAGCTGTGGGCTAGGTACCCACCTGCAGGGGCAGGGCAGAACCCAGAGAAGGGAAGGTCCTTCTCAGTTCCCTAAGGAGCCAACTTCCCAGACTGTGTACAACAGGAACACCATGGCTCTGGAAAGACAGTGGATTCAGGCCCTCTCCACCCATTAGCTGTGTAACCGTGGCAAGGGACTTATTTTCTAAATCCCAGCTTCTACTCTCTGTGAAATGGGACTAACAACATCTACTTAGAGGGTGAATGTGAAAATCAAGTTCAAATAGGGCTTGGAAAGCAGAGTAGGCACTCAGTAAATGCTGTTTCCTTCTAGGCATTCAGGCCCTTCCTTTCATCCTAGCTGTATGTGATCCTGGACAAATTACTTAACTTTAATGTGTCTCAGTTTCATCATCTGTAAAATAAGAATAACAGCACTCACTGGACAGCACAAGGTTACTGTAAGGATTACATAGATAACATGTATGTAAAAGACTTAGCTCAGTGAAAAGTTCAATAAATGGAGCTATTAGTTTTAACATTACTGGGAACATCCAGGAGAAAAGCCTTTAGGGTCATGCAGACTACCCATGGGCTAATTCCATTTAATTAGCACAAAGTCCTTACCAACCACTTCCCCAATCATGAACACCAGGCAGATAGCGGAGGCCACATAGAGCTGGCGCTGGGCCCGCTCCTTCGTGGGGTTGCACTGACTGGCAGGTCCCTTCTGTGCGTGACAGTAATGGTTGCTCTCAGTGGCCAGCTCAATGGTCTGTATGTCCAGACCAGGTGGTGGCAGAGGGATCCAGCTAGCCCCATCCTGCCACAGAGATCCCACGTAAGACCTGGCCAGACAAGAAGGGCGAGGGTCTCAGCTCTGAGATGGGAGCTGGGAGGGCTGATTCTAGTCCTGTCTCTGGGTGGGGCCTTGGCATTCCATGTGTCCAGATGGAATACCTAAGGACCCCCCAAGCTGGCCAGTCTCTGAGAAGGGACCAGAAGCCCGTGTTTGGAGGGAGGTGCTGGGCGAATGGCCAGTCCAGGAGTCTTGGGCCTGGGCTGGAGGTGTTCTCTTCTCCCCCATCCCTCCCAGGGCCCAGAGGAGGCAAAGACCTTGGAAACTGGCCGTGGGGTGGGGTGATCCAGCTGAGCACGGAGAAGGAGCAGAGCTCAGACTCAGAGAAGGGCAGAGACGGCCTCACGCACTTGGAGACACGTGGCCTCCCAGGGCTCCGCTGCCCCGGGGCAAAGTGCCAGGCCGAGGGCGGGGCTCCAGGCATTGGACTCCCCACCAGCGGGCAGGGGTCAGGATCCGAGCTCCGACGGCGGCGAGAGAGGAATGATCTCCGTGCCTATGCTCCATTTCCCCCGTCTCTCACCTCTCCCTACCCTTCCTGCGTCGTCCCAGTTCAAGCTGCCGCCAAAACCGTCCACTGCCAGGATGTCAAACGAGGACTTGCGTCTGATGTCGCTCAAATTCCCGCCCCTCCCCAGGCTCTCTCCTTACCGGGCTCCGGGCCTGGCGCCCAGCAGATGCTTCTTCTCGGTGGTTTCCATGTGGTCCCGCACGCCCTCACTGGGTCGGGGACGCCGCGCGCTGAGGTCGTGCGCTGGGCGCTCCGCGGCGCCCACTCGCCTGCTGGAGGGCCCGGCGCGTGGGGTCCTGGCTCTCCAGCTGGGCTGCCCGCCTTCCCGGCTCCGGCCGTGCTGGGGCTGCGGGGGCGCCGTCCCGCCGCGGCTGCAGCTCCAGACCCCCCTCCGCACGCCGAGCGCTCCGGCTTCCCCGCGCCCGCCGGCTTTATCCGGCCGCTGCCTCCCCGTGTGAAGCTGTCGGCGCCGCGTCGTGTGCAAAAGCCCGTGGGAAAGGGGGAGGGGCGGCCGGCTGCAAAAGGCGCCCCGGCACGGTCCCCGAGCACCAGTCCCAGCTCCCCTGGGGCCTGAGGAGCCCGCCGGGCCTGCTACGAAAAGCCCCAGCGCCTTCGACCAGCGCGGACGCTCTGTGTTACTGCGTTGGGACCCGGCGACGACCGTGAGCACCCTCCCCCGCGCGGACCTGGCAGCGTTCCTCCGAGAAGTTCTTGGACCTTAGTTTGTTGAAATCCGTTTTGGATCCCCTGAGAGAAGGCATGTGGCTCCTGAGGCTACGTTTGTATCTTCCTTTTAGGCTGGACACGCCTTAGGTTTGCTGTGTTCTGCTCAGGCTAGGAGGGTCCTGGGGGCGGGACACACCTGCCCTCAGGCGGGGACAGTAGCACTTCTTAGGACGGTTTGGGACTGATCCACTCATCCTAGACACTGAAGGAGCGCCAGTTCCTTCTCTCTTGAGCGCTCTGACTAGAATCTGGAGTGACTGGCTCCATCTCCACCCCTGCATAATGGAGCAGGGTCACGCTTCAGCAGCAGCCTGCCATCTGGGCAAAGCTGACACCACTGCCACCATCCCTTCTCTTCTACCCTGAAGCAGCTCACAGGAGCCCCAGGAGCGCTGAGTGGTGTTCTGCAGGGAGAGGCTGGCCTGTCCTTCATGCCAGCTTGGTGCCCTGCCCACTTGAGGCTGTGTCCTACCACAGCCATTCTTGGGGGGTGGGGGTCTGTGGCCCCAACGCTAGACTCTAACAGGTATAGAAAGAAGTTTGGGCTGGCAACCTCCTTGGCCAGTCAGTCCATCATCCTCAGAGCCCTTGGTCATGAGGACAATGACTTGGGTAGGGCCTTTCACAGAGACAAGAGTCTAGGGAGCAAGCCTCTTGCCCACACCACCGGGGACAAGGAGGGACACTTTCAGACACTCTCCCGCGAGAGTCATGTTGTTAGAAGATGAGGTGCAAGGAGTGAGGGTGGCAGCTGAAGCCTGCCTAGAATGGGGCACGTCCCCACTGAGTGCCTTTCCACCTCTAGACTGTGTGGAAAACCTTTACCTCAGGTTCCCTGGATTTCCTGGGAGAAAGTCCAGGATAGTCCAAGAACTAACAGGCTCAGCATTACCTGGAGAAGGTGTCAAAATACAGGTTCCAGGTCCTTCATCAGTCCCTGAGAACCTCTGCATAAACTTACAGGTCATCTCAGATATTCATTTGATCTCCCACTAGATTATAAGACCTTTGAGAGCAGGAATGTATTTTGTACTTCTATTTTACTCCAGCTCTTAGCACCTACTGGGCACTTAATTAACTACCCATGAATTGGATTGAAGGAAAGAAGTAGACAATTGTAGGGCTGGTCACTTATCAGATGAAGGTAAGTGAAGTGGGGTGCTACCACAGGAGTTTCTTGCTGGGTCATATTAGTTCATGTTGTATTTTCAAGTTGCCCTGTGCTTAGATTAATAAATCATAATTTCTTTGAGAACAAAAGTTTATAAAGTATGTCTTTCATTTGTCCGTTTTGTTCCCTTTATGCAAGGCACACTGTAAATTCTCAATAAATATAATTTACAGATTGGATCCAGACACATATATTCATTTTATGAAAACATTTTATGCCAGCTTTCCTTTAAATTAATAGTTCCCCATGATGTATTTTAACTGATTTGCCAGAGTTCACCTAATTAATCAAGACTTTGACATATGAAAAACTGCTGGGTCCACTTGTATTATATATCTGACTCCTTCAGAAATCCCCAGAAGTCCTATGCAAATGACCTGGCAGTTCTCAGACCTCAACATTACCTAAGAAATTTCATTTTTAAAATATAGATTCCCGCATACCACAATGACCTGGTTCTGTAAGTCTGGGAATGGGTTTGGAAATCCATTATATTTAAATTGGAAATCCATAGAAGTATATTTAAAACCTTTGTGTTTGATGCCATTGTGAAATTAGTGGGGTTTTTTTTTATGATATAGCAGTTTTTTAAAGAAACTTTAAAGTATGGAAGGACAAAATGACATGACATCTGGGATTTGCCTTAAAATGATCACAATGAGGAAGTGGGTAATGAAAAAGAAGAAAAAGTGTCTCAGTAACTGTTGAAACTGAGTATGATGAGTATAGAGGATACATTACACTATTCCCTTTACTTTTCTATATGTTTGGAATTTCCCAAAAGTAAAGGTTTAGGAAAAACTTAAACCTTCTCTAGTGGTTGTAATGCAGCAGGCTATGGAACTGTGTTCAGATTCATTGGAATAACCTCTTTGAAGCCAGCATTTTCTTCCTCTCTTACAGCATCATCTTGAAGCTTATTATCAAGAATCCTTCATACCACCCTTACATCTTCTGGTTTGCAAGAACAGGCAGCTCTTTGTGTGGCAAAGTAGGGATCCCCTTATTTGCAATTAACAGATATCTCTATGGAATTTAAACTTTAATTGACTTAAAGCTGACTCTTCTCCTTCCTCTGTTAAGTGATAAGATAGTAGACCGATATGCCTGCTTCCCACGTGATGAGTAACCTGGAGTGGAAATCTGGAGACAGAATACAGACAATTTGTAATACTGATTCTTCTAATTTTAAGATGATGATACTGTTAAGAAAACTATAAAGACAGCCAAGTGTAAACAAAAAAAAAAAAGAAAGCCAAGTGTGTGATTATTTAAAAAAGGATAGTGGCCACCTCCAAGGAGAAGGGGGCAACATAGAGGGCTTCTAAGAACTGACAATGTCTTTTTTCTTTCACCTGCATAATGAAACACAGGATTTCATTTTACATCAGTTTATTAGACTCTATGTAACTAGTTTCGTGCACCTGTGTGTGTGTGATACGTCACATAGTTTTAAAACCTTTTTCTTCTCCCTCTCTTTTTTTTTTTGTGAGCTTCATTCAGAACTTGAGGAATGACTAGAAATGAGAACAATATCTGATTCCCTGAAATTCAAAGTTAGGGACTGAGGTAGCTTAGGAAAAACTCCCAGAAGTGAAAATAGGCAGAGATGTGAGGGTTTAAAGCACTTACATGAAGTGAGTTCCACATAACACTAGTTCTGAAGGATGTCACATGAATGAGTAGTTGGGAAATACTGAGTTAAACATTCAGTCCACCAAAAGATAGTACAAGCTTTAAAGATCAGGCAGTATTCCAAACACCATAAACTTGATGGACCAGTCATTGTCCAAAGTTAAATAGCTTTCTAAACAGCAGGGCTGATCAAAGGCTTTAACTTGCTTCTGTGTTCTGAATGTTGAAAAGGTAGGAACAGACTGTGGTGTTCCTCAAATGTATAAGTACGTGGCGTCTCAGACCCAATTAATGTGCCAACTCAGATTCATTCATTTTACCTCTTTCCTAGCCCCTTGGGCCCTGCTTCATGGAGAGCCTGGATCCTACTTTGGCCTCATTAATCGCCTTATCCCCTAGCACTGGGGCTGTCCTGGCCTCCCCTGGAGGAAGCCTGGGCTCCAGCAGAGCCTCCTTACACCCATTGTGGTGGGGGCATGCCCAGCCCACCTGGCCCACGAAAGCGCCGCTCCTCCCACCCCTGTGGAGTCAGCAGGGCGTATGCCATTCAGCTGCCCCAGCAGCTGCCAGAAGGGGGCGAGTGGTGCAACCCAGAGGGCAATTAACACTCTGGGAGACAAACATCAGTTCTGAGGGACAGGAGATGAAAGGAGCAGGCAGGCAAAACTCTCTGGCTTCTTCCTTCTGATGAATTGCTGAGCGCTGTACTGTGTTCTTTATGACCTGCAGGGAACATCTCATAGAACTGAGGGAGCTGCTGGGTCTCTCGGTGAGGCTCTGTCCAGGTCAGTCTTGCAACACTTTTCATTTGCTTCCCTCCTTTCCTGCTTTGCGTCCACTTCCCCTCACTCTGGCTGCCCTGGGGCTGTACCTGGACTAAAGCTTTTAAGATTTGCCTCAGGCTCTGTTTTCTGGCGAACCAGACAGAGAATAAGGCATTGAATCCATTTCTTGAGGCTCACTCATCTCAGGGCCAATTTTCCAGGGAGCTCTCATTGGGAAATGCTGGGTTAAAGAGCTCATTCTTTGGTGGGAGGAAAACTAGCCCTGCCACTGTTTATTCCTATGGTGCACTTCCTACTAGGTCTTCTGTCCACCCACCCTGAACTCTTCTCTTTAGAAAGAAACACCAAATGAAACCCCAGCTCTTTTGGTAATGACAGGAAGAGAGCATTGTGCATTTATTAAAACAACATATAACAGAAACTCAGTTGCCATCCCCTATGCCAGGGGTAGGCATTGAAATACAGTGCCTTCTCCCTTACCGAGGCCTGTACCTCTACCTGGGAGTGCTGCTCAGTCCTCCCACTAGGAAAGGGACCAGACAGCTTTGCCAACCTGGCTTTCTTCCCCTCTTTCTAACAATCACCAGTCACACAATGACCAGGCATTATCATACAAAAGTTCCTTTACAAAAAGCACCAAATTGGCATACATATACAAGTATATACAAAAATCACATTTTAAAAAATGTACAAAATACTCCATTTTGCACCAACATAGAAAAGTGTCCTGTGAGGTTGTTTCAAGCACGTTTCCAATTCTGGTTCAGTGACTGCTGGACACAGTGGTGGAGGTCCTACTCCTAGTCCCGGCTCCCTGAGCAGAGAGAAAACACACCTTCCCATTGCCCCTGCCAGGCCCCGACCCCTCCCACCCTGGGCCTGTCACCAGGCACCTGGGCCCATCCCCACCCTCCCCAGTCTCTCCGTATCTAGAGGGTCTCTCTCATTTGGCTCCTTACTGGCATCCTGCAAGAAAAAGACAAAGAAACGCAAGGTAAGACAGGGACCCAGGGGCCTCCAGGGCTTACCAGGCTGCACTGACAAAGTGATCAAATTCCAATTCCCACCTGGCCTCTTCCTTTTTAAACCAAAATAGAATTTAGTTGCTAAAACACTACAGATTGCATATCCAATACAAAACTCCAAAAGAGCACTCTGTCCTTTCAGGATTGGAATTTAGTTCCAATAATAGTTTAACTTGAAAAGTAATAACATTAGCAACCCCGTGCTAATTAGCAAACGTCCTTCCTATAGGGCAGACACTGTGTTAAACAGTTACCTAATTTACCCTCTACCATAACCTATTGAGGTCAGTACCATTATGACCCCGTACACATGTGAGTAACTCAAGACTCAGAAAAGCTGTGAACGGCCCCAGCTCACACACTACGTATGCAATGCTGAGATTCAAAACCCACACTCCTAACTGTACTCTGTCAGGTGGGCAGCCCGCATGCCTACAGGGGCCAACTGATGACATGACTGAGTAATCCCTTCTCTGAGATTAGGGAGAAGGGCAAAATCAGTGTTGTTAGTTCTTTTCAGATTTTCACAAGACAGTGGAAAGCCAGATTCTTAGTCAAAATCTCCTTAAAAAAAAAAAAAACCAAAAAACTCCTGGACAAATTTCCTAATTTAAAATGTTGGCAACTAATTTAAAAAATTTTAAACATTGTGCTGGCCACACAAAACACCCTGGTGGGCCCGGCCTGGCGCATGAGCTCCCTGTATTTTATGTCTGTTACACTGTATATTGCTTTTCACTTTGGAAGGTCATTTAGATATGAAATGGGAGCTTTTTATTATGAATAGTTTGGTGTTTTTTTCTGCAAGTGTAAAGGGAACAAGAGTTGGTTTAAAACACATACTGGGAAGGAACATCATCACATACTGGCATCATCCCCAGGGTCTAGCACAGCACTTTGTACACAGTAGGGATTTCATGTTGTTGAACAAACCAATGAACAAATGAATGAATGAATGGAAGTAGATGGATTTCCTACCTCCTTCTTTCGCCTCTGTGGCCTCTTCCTCTTCCTGATCTTCTTCCTCAGTGAACTCTTCCTCTTCCTCATCTTTGTGTGACAAAGAACAGCTGTGTTAGGATGGGGCCGGTTTCTCAGGGGAGCTGCTCAAAGGACACCAGGCAGGAGATGGCACTTATCCAACCCCTCCCCACGCCCAGTCAGTGTCACACCCAGCTGCGCAGAGGCTGGCCTCCTTCCTTGCCACACCCTGCCAAGGGAGGGGGGGTCCAAATGGTCCTTGTTCCAGAGCGGGAGCAGCTTCCACCCCCTGCTCTGCCTGGGACCAGAGGGGATATTGGGGAAGCATCCTTTGTGCTCTAGCACATCTCTCAGACAGATAAACATCATCTGGGGAGAATGGGACAAAACCCCCTTGATACTCAGAGATCAGAGTCCTAGTCCTGAAGGAATTTGCCCTGCCTTAGAAATCTGCTTGCCTGGCACTTCTGTCCCAGTTTTCCTCAGTCCTTAGCCTACAGCTGGGTGGACGCAGGGTGGGGAGCAGTCCTGGGGCACCTGTTCACTAGCTCTCTGAAGCTGCTCCCTTGACTGACAGTATCTGAGCTGCAACCTGTGTCCTCACTTCTCCATTCTGGGACAGTGCCTTCCTGCTCT